TTACAGCTGAAGCAAACAGTGAAACCTGACAGATAATGCATTATTATACATTGAACATTTGAAAAATTGCTCGGCTGCGTATATAATCATTTCATTACTATATTTATGTACACCTCTTTTTGCAACGCGGTCGATTCTCACGAAAGAACAAAAAAAATGATTTCGCAGTCAGGCCTGTGGTCACCAGCTGAGAGACCTGAATAAAAGTGATGAAAAAAAAGAAAAGAAAAACGAAATGAAACTGAAACCAGCGAGGAGGCTACTTTGAAAAATGTAATTACAGTAGTTGACCGATAAAAATCTCATTTGACGGTGGCAGCGCCGCAGCTTGGAAGCCTCGGAGCGTTAAAATCAGGCTCGTCACGAGAGATGGCAGCGGCTCGCTGCACTTTCGGAACAAAGTCAATGGCGAGGTACGGAACGGCGCGCACTCTCGCGAAAGCTGCTTATCGGCAGATCAAAGATTGCTCGCCCATGCGCGTTTCGAAAAGAAAGGAACAGCGAAAATTATTTTTTCTTTCTCTCGACGCGGGGAAAATTACATTCTCATTACTGTTTTATTGTTTCGCAACTACTTCCAAAGTTAAAAGTCGTATTATTTTTATTTTTTTTATTTTAAGCTTCAGAGTTTTTACTAATGTGATTTTAAGCGAATATCGAAATTCATTTCTTCAATTGAGAGAAAACAAAATAAATTCAGTTGAAGACATTTTAGCAGAGTTCATGGTCACGAGAGTTTGGAATATTTCATCATAGAAGGCAATTTGAGAGAAACGTGTATTGTGTTAAAATGAGTAAACATTAGACATTAGCGAGGACAACTTTTAATTAAATTTCTTTTTTACTTCTGCTTACCTCGTCACTATTGGTCTCGCCGGGAGAGTAATATTGTTAAGCAAAAAATCAACATCTGGAAAAATATTAGGTAATCGTGCAACAGCAGAACAACATTGCGATAGTAGCCATTGCGAGGCTGACAATTAACGAAGGGTTCGGAAGCTTGATTATATTTACATGGTCTGTGAGTTTATTAGTGTAGGCGCATGTGCGTGCACGCGTTGCGTTTTGCGCAACGTCAGCGAAACAGTGAAATACACTTAAGAAGGTGTTTCTGCCATTTGGATCTGGCGGGCGCGTGCTGAAGGGGGAGGCCGCTTGATTTACATTCGAATCGCCTGGTTAGCAGCCACTTAATTTACGACCGTCACGCACACAATCATCGCTCGCGCGCACAAACGGTCTGTGCCTTTTAATTGAGTGTCAATCGTAAATTAGGTCGCTGGTTATTAATTTTCTGTGTATGAGAATCAATCACTAATAAATCAAGGATCACGGCACGAAATAAAGTCAACTATTTCTTGCAATATAGCGCGATTTATTGCTTTTTAATTAAATGTATAATTATCGCTGCGAATAAGACTTGAAAAATTCGTTTATTACCGCGTGCGTTGGGTTTCTTTTCCCTGTCGGAGTGAAGAAAAGAACGATGCAACGTTAGAGACTATCATTTACCAATTCCGAACGCACGTTCATTACTTAGCATATACGTGCACAGCCTGTTTGCAACTAGCTACTGCGTTCTGTTTTAACACGTTATCATCGTCGTATTAAAGCTTCAAACAGACAAGCGTGAAAAAAAATTTATCGTGGTTGAATTCGTTATAAAATTATATGTATAGTCCAATCGAGACATCTAAGTGGAATTGAAAAAAAAATTGCCTAGACTATTAGTAAAGTTTCCCTTACCGGATAGAAACTTGAACTATGTGTTTTTCTTATCACGACAGCGAATTGACGATGTGATCAAATCTGAGCCGCGGCTATTAACAACAGAGAGCGCTGTGTGGCCCAATACCTTTTATTCTAATTTTCAATAAAACAAGAGCTCCGCTTTCATTTTTTTGCGAGAGATCGACAATCTTACAAGCCACTTATACCGTACTGTAAAATTCCGATTGTTATAATTTCTCGGCGCGGCAATGCTTTCGCGCGAGCTGAACCCGTTCAACACTAAAACCGTTTTTTCTTTTTTTTTTCTTTTCGAGCTACCTAGCTAAGCCAAATAAACGTTAATCGTCCGAGTTGCATCAGATCCAGCGATACACATTACTTTTGAACTATAGAAAATTCCTCGGTAAATCCGATCGCTCATATTCTCTCGAGCGGCGATCGATGCAATTTTTTTTTTCCTTTTTTCGTTCTCGCTCTCGTGCTCGCGCGCGCGCTCGCGCGTGTTTTCGAGCTGCCGCTGTCGGCGCACTTACGAACGTTTATACGAATGCGCGCGGCGAGCCGTATTTTCATAGTAAGGCGAGGCTGCACGATAGCCGTGCTGAATTTATTAATCGACAGCGTACGGCATACGTATATGAGCTGCGCATGTAGTTCTCGATTTTTCGGGGCGCCGCTTGATATTTCGCAATCGGTGTATTATGATCTTTGTCCGGTGACAGAAGGTCTACACCAAACGCGTGTCGCATGTACGGCGGAATGCGCATTGCCAAATCAATTTCATTTTTTGTTTTTTGTTTCTTTGCTGTTCGGTTTGTGAATTATCGCGTAATAATGTACAGATATGTTTATTCTTGCGAATCGATTAGGCGGACTTGCGATCGTGAAATCTATTCCAGGCGATATGTTTTATTGCGCCAAAGCACATATATAGCGCCACTAATTTTAACGTCGTAAAGTTGACGTCTCAACGCATTAATATTCGACGTATGCCGAGAATTATTGTGACAGAAGTAGGTGTGTCGTGCACTTTAGCCCTTTATTGTCTAAGCTTGGCAAGCAAACGAACGTTTAACTGTCGCTTTTGACAAAAATGATCGGAAACAATGTCAATAAAAATTATTAGTATTCATTTTTTTTTCTTTTCCGTTTCAATGATTTTATATTACAATCACGATACAGCTACAATTTCTTTCATTCTAAGTGTCATGCGAAGCATTTTAAAAATGTCTACAAGAATATCGCCCAAAGCATGAGACAAATTGTTCCAATTAGTAGTCATTCATAAAATTACAAGTTTTGAAAGTGCAAAGTCCACGACAGCATGATTAATCACCAAACTTTACGCTTCCTGTGCTGTCGACCATGTTATTTCGCATGATTAATCGCATACAATGAAAATAGTGCAAATAGTATTCTACTCGCGTGACTTCTGTCAGAAATTTAATTTATTGTCAATGCAAAATGACTAAAAAAAACTCGTGCAACGACCCAAAGGCGAAACAAAGAAAAAAAATAAACTGAATCATCCGATCTATCTCTAAATCGAGTAAAGGTCGCTATACGCGTGTGTGTAAACTTACGGAAGATCATCGCTGTAGACTCGGAGTGTTTTTTGCCGAGGGCAAGGCCGCACGCGCCACACGACGACGGCGCGCGCTGCAATGGACCTGTTCCGCCTGAGGCTGTATACGCGCGAGTCATATCGGTGAATGACTCGCGGAAATCGTTCGTCCGTCGAGCCTCGCCACGTATTTCTTTCCCCGCCTTATTCGATTTTACGCAAAAGAAAGCGATCAGAGAGCTTGCACGTCGACGATTCGCGAAAAATAATAATGTTTCTTCAGGCGCACGCCCATTGTAACAATGCGAGGCTGACGCAATGATAAGCCGATTGCTTCAGTTTAATTGTCAATTACTTTCGCGCTGCACACGCAAGCCGGAGCAAAAAGGCAAAATGAGGAAAAAGTCCTTCGCGCGCTCGTGGTAGTTTGACAAGCGTTTGACCGAACAGCCAGCGTCGCCTGCCTTTTATTATTAATCTTGAGGATTTGGCAGAAAAACAAACGAAACGAACACTCGCGCGCACGCGACGGCAAGTTGTAAGCGACCAGCGACAAGAAAACAACGTGCATGACTTTTCATAAACGTCAATGCGCTTGGTATTCCGCACGAGTTTACCGTTGCAATGCGAATTATACTGTTTAAGAATTTATATCCATAATTGGCTATTCACATTCGAACGGTTTAACCGTCACGGCAATGTTAATTTCAATGTACTTAAAGAAGTAACAATCAGTTTGGTACTCTAATGACAACTTTATGCGTTTTGATGACGATGCATTCGAGACGTTAAATTAAAATGTTGGCAGCGAACAAGTAATAAATGCCAACGCAAACGGCGTCGTCAAACACATTGCAACACTCGTAAAACTCAAGCGAATTTACCGACGAATTTTCTAACATCACCTTTAAGAAACCTCGCTTAACCTTCTTGATAGGCCAGGCTTCGAAAAAAAAAGAGCAACCATCGAAGAATCGTCCTGCGGTACTACCAAGCAAAAAAAAGAAAGAGAAAAAAGAAGCAAGAATCGGCCGAGTTACTCAACATTGCAGGCGTACATACGGATACGCTTTAGTAATATCACTGCACAGCGGTGTGCGTGTTCCATCTCCTTGCGCTAATCAAGTCGATGATTGGCTCTTTTATTGCACTTCGTTAGTCAGTCGTATAGGTATGAATGCGGGTGTTGATTTACGAGATCGAGATTGGCGCTGAGGGTTGGTAAATGCGCATCATGAAACCGTGAGTTCGTTAGCATGCGCTGATATAGTACAATATTCTGCTTTTATTCCCCCCCCCCCCCCTGAAAAATCAATTGGAGAACTTATTATCAAGGATCTCACCAGCAGAAGTTTCGAAAGCCGCAGAGCGCGGGTTATTTGCAGCGACGCGTTTCTCGAGAAAAAAAAAACACGAGTGTCGGATGGACCTCCCCGTGAAAGTGAATCGGCAAAAGGAAGCGACTCTCGTGCGTTCTTAAAAATTCGTTTTCGATTTAACGAGCGCTCGCGCTTTTATCACACTTTCGCCGAACATGTGCCGAGCGGAATTTTCTGCTCGGGAAAGCGCGCGCGGATAATAAAAGTGGACGATCCGTGCGAAAGAAGCGAGTTTAACGACAACGCAGACACAAGTACGCACGTACCTTCCTCGCGCGGAACAATCGGGTCGCGGTGAATTAAGAAAAACTGATCGTTATACTTACGATCCTCATGTTGACGGACGAGTCTTGTCACAAATCACCTCGGAACAACAACAACAACGAAGCACACGCGAGCGTCGCGCGAAAATACTGGGAGAGAAGTGCCGGGCGAGGAGCAGCGCGCCTCGAGGCGTTACGAACCGCGGCGGCGCTAGACTGAAAGACTGTTTGAATTGGCCGCGCTGCCGCAGTAGTTGGTTGTGCAGCTCCGGCCTGCCGAGAAGTAGCGTCGAGTGGCGTGGGGGTTGCTCGGCTGCTTACTTTTCCTCTCGTTTGCTCCTGCACCGGCCTGTCTCGGACAGCCTATAAGCAGATGCTCGTACGTATGAGGTATTTGCTCGATTGATGCCTGGTGGGGGCCTACCTAGCTGCTTATATACTCGATTCCAACGGAGGTCGCCCCTTCCTTCCGGAAGGCGTCGACGTGCTCGCGGATCGCTGCTGCGCGCACTAACACCACGAGGGTCAAGGTCACTCGGCAATACCTCCCCGGCTTCCCGGTAATCGATACGTTATATCCTGTTTCGTGTGTACTTATTACAATTACACTTAGCGTATCGTTATCCCGCCGATGCTATATGCAAAGGCTATTGATTAGCTTCTCGAGCTTCGACGGTTAGCGAGCCGTAGTTTGCGACGATGCAACGATGTTCGGTCGATCGAACTTTTCTTCTCTGGCCCTTTTATGCTACTATTAGATAATTCATCGTCGATGAGTTTTCTATTTTGAAATCTTCAAATTATTGCTACTGGTTATTGCGACCAACTAACATATTTTTAGTCGATAAAATGACCATAACTGCATACATTTAAGAACAAGAGCAGTAATTGATTCGTGCGACAACATGACAAAACCTCGTATTTTCAACAGTTCTAGTGTAACGTAAACGGACAGCCATCGCGTATTTAAGTGTATTTTGCGTCAATCAAAAGATAAATCCGATCGACAGCAGTCGTTTAACAGTCCAATCAATCGCCGTACAAACGTACAACATCGCGATATATCCGGTCTCCTCTCAACCTGTTGCCATGGAAAGTGAGAGGACTCTTACAATGCTCCTCAAATTCATATTTTTTTAAGCGCTTCACTGTGCATACACATACACACACCTCTAGATTTTTTATTGTCAATTTGCGTGTGTGTACGCGCGTTCGCAAGCGAACAGCCTTGCATCCATTTCCGCCAGCTCTCGCAGTAGCTTTCTTCCCCCAAGGCGGAGGCGACTCTTTTTCTCGCCAATTCGCGAAGGTTGAGTCGCTATTATAATAATCGATTTGCTTGCGTCTTGCTCCGAGCGGTGTGAACAAACTTAGTCAATGTCGATTCTCGTGTGTTTGGGAGATCGGAGCGACGGCGGTAACAGCAGCATCGTCGTCACGTTACATGACTCGGTGTATAACGAGCTGCTGCGCCGCTGTTGGCGCGGCAATCTGAGATCTTGTCAAAACGAATGAAATGACGAAGGGCTTGGAAGAGGGTTGCGCAACGACTGCGAAACACGAAAGAAATCGCTTTTTTCTTTATCGTTATTATTACTTTTTTTTTTTAAGGCATTTGAATCGAGACGGATGCAGCCCAGAAAATTAACAAAGGTATCCGCTCTTTTGTCCGCGGCTGCGAAATTCCATCATCGCATTCTTGTAAATAATTCAATCTAATGCAGCCAGCGACGAAGAAATTATGCATCTGAGGGGCGATAAGCGAAGACGGAACCGCGAGAGCGAAGCCACTCGATTAATAAAACAATATCACTGGCTAATTCATTCGTAAAGTTTGCAAGGTCAAACGACAAAGAGTCATTTCGCACGACTACTTCTTCTTCCTTTTCTTTTTAATAAATAGTAGAGTAAAAAACTGTCGTTACGAGTTTCTTAACTTATTCGAGAGCTCACCTTATGAGAAACGAGGTGTTTCTGGTATATATATGTATGCAGACTTGACGAACATCGACATTATTTTTTTTACTGCACTAACCCTTGGAGCTACACCTGCTTATTTTCGATTTTAGCAATCGGCAGTTCGAGAATCCTCAAATAGAATTCTTAATTGACGAAAGTTAAGAATTGGAAAGTTTATCGGGAAGGTTCTTCTGATTAAGTTTAATGTGCGCTCGGCGACTATTGTCGAGCGAGCCGCCGACCGCGTGGCAATTAAAAAAATGCAATTGACTTTTTAACGAGCGTTGTGCGTATTTTAAGTGAAATACTTCCTGAACGGCTTGACGAGCGATGAAAAAGATAATAAATTTGACTTGTGGGGAAAACCATAAAATATATATGTACATACTTTACGATTGTGCGATGCGCGAAGAAAAATAAGCTATTGCCGTCTAATTTTGATGTATTTTATTCTAATCCTATTCTATTGTAATGCGATGCGTGGTTGAAAAGAATAGCTTTGACTTTGACTTCGTTTTTATTGGCTCACGAGCGCTGCACGGAACAGGATGTCTCATACCAAATAAGGAAAATCTCAGTCAAGCTCATTTCGCTTTAATTAAGAATCAGCCGTAATAATTGAAGCAAAATGTCGAACATCAATGGAAAAGAAAATTGACGAGATAGCCGTAATCCGTGAAAGTTAGGCTGAAAGGATGAAATAATATGTTGGGAATGTGCATAAATATCGTATAATAAGCTCGCAGATAGGAACTAATCGGGCAGGTTCAGCATATTTCTCGATTACCGTAACAATTTCGCCAAAAACATTCATCAGGCGATTATATAAAACACTCATCTGCTTCGGAACGTCTTCAAAAGTCAATTCAGCTAGCATCAGCAAAATAAACATCAATGCGAATAATATTTCCACATTTCAAAAAGTACCGAACTACCCAATCAAATCATTACCTCAATAATTTTATTTGTCTATCAAGCTATGAATTTTTATCGAGCACGGAACGATGCAAAAAAAGTCGGCAATTAACCGTAATACGCAGAACTGACGTATCGAAACAATTGGATAATATTCGTCGCCAGCGGCGTGCAGATTTACCGTTTCTCTCAACGTTAATTTTCATTTCTACGAACTATTACGAAACACTCATTCAACAATCAACGCGCCATCACAAAGAATATCAAATCGAATTCATCTAATAATATTATTACACCACAGTGTGGACTTAATGCTACGCTCGCATCATATGGAATCCGGATCCGTGACTTTCATTATAGAGCGACTTAAAATTCTGTTCAAATTTTTTCTCTTGAAAAAGTTATGCGCTTGCTCGAGTAATAATTGTTCCGTGGTGATTTATCGCATTGACAAGCTTGAATGCGTTTGTATAAGCAGTCAACAGGTTAGTCCGTGGCGTGCTCAAGACGTTTATGGGATAGATTTATCGTTGCTGAATTATGAATAAATCAACGCCCCCCGAGGAAGTGCATTACCTTGAAATAAAATTTCAAGTTCAAGAATCATTCTTCGTTTTCTTTCGTACGTGCAAACGAGTTCATCTCGTGGTAATTAGCAAGCGCCGCACGATTAATTATTCATGTAATGTACCGGTCGTTTTATTACGTTTAACTAGATCTCTAATATGACAAGGACAATCGCGCAGCTACACTCGTCACCGGATTTTCTCTATAATCCAATGGAACATCGGCTGACACTTGAATAAATAAAATTCAATGCCTCGAAACATTTTTTCTGGCCGTGAAAATTCGACAGATATTGAGAAAATTGATGGATGTTGCAAGCTGTTAACATCGTAATCACTTGAGTAATTAGCAATGTCGTCTTCAGGATTTTTGGATATTTTTACATCGTCGTAAAAATATTATGTATATTTAAATTAGTATTCTAACTGGCGAAACTTATATTCGAACTTTTTATTAAAAACAACAAATTTCTTTACTTATCCGTTAAAAGGTTACAGCAGCACTTGCATCAGGAATTTATAGCGCGTATTATTTCCGGATTTTTTTCACTTGGGCAAAGAATAAAAAGGCAACAATTGTAAGTCTATTGTTAGTTGGCGAGCATAAAAATTTTACTTTAGCTTCAACCTCGCTTGCTTTTATGCAAAACCAAAGAGCGAGAAATAGTTCGATGTACTTGACAAAAAGAATCACCTAATATCCTTCGAAAAGGTCTTCTATAATGATGTCGAATTTCAACTGATTTCACAGTAGAACATATCAACGGTGTACGTGCACTTACGCACGTTACCATCAAACAACGAGAAGGATAAAAATAGGAAAAGGAAAAGGCAATCGTTGGCGCTTATTAGTCGTCCACGAGAGGCAATGAATGGAGGGCTTCTCGCGTGGTTATATTGCAACTGAACTTTTGCATCCTTGGTTTATGGGCTCCTGATCGCCAGACAAGGAGACACTACTGATAGAGGTTCGTCTCGTCGAAGCGCGGCGCGGAAGGTTAAGCGTCACGGCATAAAAGACGAATTAGCCTTAATTTCCTAAATTCAGAGGAGGAAGGACAGCATCTGAAGGCTCGCGTTGATATACACGCGCTTTCCCACGACCTTTATTATTACGGCTATTGGATATCGCTCGAGTTTCTCATAGACACTGCAAGGTGATCGAACATTGGATTATTAGATTCTTTTGTTCCTCTTCTATCAGAATCCAGTATCTTCTTTTCGAACATGACGCAATCCCACGTGATTTGGAAATCATTACAACCGTTTCTTAATATTTGCTTTTTTTGCATCGTTAATTGAACTTTCTAAAAAAAAAAAAAAAAAAACAAAAGAAAAAAAATGTGGCTTGCAGTGAAACAATAGCACGCGTCTCATTAGCAAAAACCACTCCATCCTTGAACAGATTTTTATTTTGACTTTTTAACGGTACACGACGAAAGAGACGCTCGTGACGTTAATTTATTTCAGACATATATACCCTCGACCACTAAATTTTTAATGAGAAGTACCTTTAAACAAGATTAGCCAGCGATAGCAAAAAATTCAAGCAAATGCCTTATCGCGCTTAACTATCGGAACGATCAAAGCGTTATCTATTCGAATAAGAACGCGAACGCTCGAGATTGCCAATTTATTTGTCCGTCTAACGCTTGTACGGCTCGGCCGATTGGCTGCAACAAATATCTTGAAATTTATGCTATCGCTTTTGAATAAAACGCATTTGCTCGTGATCTCGAAGTGAAGTGCTATTATCGCCGCCTGGAATAAATCAGAAACAACGTACACACGATTCATCGGTGGCGCATAATTTCGTTTCGTAGACGTATGCCATTGAAACTGTTGATATGTGTGGTTAGCCCGTGCTTTCAGCTCTCACAAGTTTGACACCCGATTTTTATCGTGTACATATTTTATTCATAACGTCGTCGCTAAATCGTTTATCATACTTTAC